TATACCTGAAACTAATAAAACCCTAACCCTAACCCCATGTGATGTCGGCTAAATGAACTTTCGGTGAAATGAAGTGAGCGAGCATGATATAAATATTGAAAGAACAAAACATAGCAAAGAGATTTATGGATTTTTGATCTTAAATGCATCTTAACAAAATCTTTATTTTTCTGTAATTCCCTGCAACCTGTTGGTTTTACTTCAGAATTTAATATTGTAATGTCATTGATCCTACAGCTGAAGTCTGGTCTTTTAAGTGAACTATTTGCACTTTTATCTAAACCTCACTTCGTAATCTTTTGAATCCTCACAAAAAAATAGGTTTATCAAGGATCAAAATAGTTAAATCGATGTTCATTTTCGTGATCTTTTTTGTTGGTGTTGATAGTATGTCTTCCTTTCTGCATACCAAAAACAAATCGATTTATTTCTGGTCTTTAGTTTTTTTTCATTAATTATATAATGTCAAAAAGATCTTAATAGCAACTTACAGATTATTAAATATTCGGAATGCTTTCTTGCTCAGATCGCTTTTATCATTAGATACGAACTACCATCTAATCCTATTGCAAAGGAGTTGGTCCAAACGGACTCTTTTATGGTGTGAATATTCGAAGTAATAATTTGATTCTATTTCTGAAGATGTAAATGTCAAATATGAACAAATATGATTATTGAAGCCAATGACCTATATTATAATATAATATTAAATTACCGGTAGTATAATTTCAATAAATATGCAATAAATATTCTAAAATACTTACAATATGTCGTATTTATTATTCAATGTTAATTTTTATTACTTTTTCGATTAATTTTAATTGGCATTCTTTAAATTTTTTTGATACATTAATTATGTCTATAATCCACTAACAAATTATAAATTTTCTGTTATGCATGACATTAACAGAACTCAAAATTAAATTTACTTCATACCTCTTTTTTTGATTGAGTTTCGATTCTTTTTTTTTAATCTAAAGCAATTGTTTCGTTATCGCTTTCGCTGCTATCGTTTCGTTATCGTTTTCACTGCTATCAGTTTCACTAATAGCGTCTCATTTTATCTAAATCAAAAAAGGTTTAATAATTAAGTTTTAAAGTAGCTTAAATAACGCAAATATTACTCACCTTTTTTGATTTATTATCGGAGTTTGTTTCCGAATTTTCTATATAGTTTACGTTTAGGACTTTTTTCTTAATCGAGAAGAAGGCAGTGATTCTCCAATCAAAGAGCCGATTTCATTCACAGTTCCACTGGTGTTTATAGTTCCGCTGCGCTGCTTTTCATGTCCCCATTAACCAGCCCATTCATGAACGTTGGACGGTGAAGACGTACTTGATTTCTTGAACGTTCTTTATCCTATTTTTTGGCAATTTTACGATCGAACCCCTTGATATTAACAGAAAGTATTTAGTAATATTCTTTGACTAAAACGTTTTCAATTCTATTTGATTACCCCTACTGAAGTTTTAGATAACCAAGTAGGGCATCTGGACTCACAGTAGGCCCAGTGCCAGTTGGCGAGTAGCATTTTAAACATCAGACGACCGAGTAGGGCATCTGTGCCCCAACACTGGGTTTGCGGCTCGGCAAGTAGCCTTGAATGATGAACTGCCAAGTAGGACTTGTCTATCACGCCTAGTTTACATCTCAACAAAAAGTTTTTTTTTTTTTACTTTCCTCTTTATAATTTTCTAGGTGCAATTTTGCCGTTTTAGACTTGCTGTTATTATTTTCACAATCAATAATGTTTTGGAGGCCCTTAATTTCTTTGACAAAAAAAATTGATTACCGTTACGACTTTTAAGAAAAAAAAAAATCCATAACGATAAGGATCCATAAGGGATTTATTACCAGCTCATTCATCGTTGAACGGTAAAGATGTACTTGATTTCTTGAGCGTTCTTTATCCTATTTTTGGCAATTTTACGATCGAGTCCCTTGATATTAACAGAAAGTATTTAGTAATATTCTTTGACTAAAACGTTTCCAATTCTATTTGATTACCACTACTGAAGTTTTAGACGACCAAGCAGGGCATCTAGACTTACAGTAGGCCCAGTGCCAGTTGGCGAGTAGCATTTTAAACATCAGACGACCAAGCAGGGCATCTGTGCCCCAACACTGGGTTTGCGGCTCGGCAAGCAGCCTTGAATGATGGACTGCCAAGCAAGACTTGTCTATCACGCCTAGTCTACATCTCAACAAAAAGTTTTTTTTACTTTCCTCTTTATAATTTTCTAGGAGAAATTTTGCTGTTTTAGACTTGCTACTATTATTTTCACAATCAATAATGTTTTGGAGGCCCTTAATATATAGCTATCTATTTTCGTTCCATAAGGCTCTAGTTCAAAAATTCAAGAATGTTTCAGCTCGTCGACTTTCTTTTGAAATATTCGTCAGACATGATTATTATGATTATTACAAAGTTTTTTCTTTGACAAAAAAAAAATTGTTTACGAATTTTTTTTTAAAAAAAAATCCATAAGGATCCATAAGGGATTTATTGCATGTGTCATGAGTTAATGTTAACGTTAATTTACCAAATTTGGCTTAGGACACTATCAGCTATGTTTACAAATATAGACACGCGTAACAGGGGTTAACGTTAAATCGCGTAAAGTCATACAGATACACGTATAGATACGACATAAAATCAGCCAATCATAGACAAACGTTTGTATGATATAGTAATGACGAGATGTCACATGTAAATTTTTTTTATATGATCGACGCATATAAAATTTCATATCGATATGAGTACCCACTCATATCGATATGTAAAATTAGCGTCAAAATGCTTCCTGACCTTTATTTATCAAAAAAAAGTTGGAATTTCGGTTTGGTGTTTGTAGTTCATTTATTCACTAGTATTCGAAGCTCCTTTAAATAGTGTTACGGGGTAAAAGAAGTGGAACCAGAAGATAGGTCGGAGCTGCGCCTAAAATGCAAAGTGGCGATGTTGACAGATAAGGTAATTGCCGAGAATAAATACGTCCACCTATCATCGTGTTGTTCCACAAATTGTAAGTGGTGACGAGAACGATGACGAGAGTGGCGACGAGAATGATGACGAGAGTAATGTCATAGTATAGGGAAAAGACCAATCGTGTCAGAATAAAAACAAAGAGTAACTTAGAATAGCTTACCCTAGCCACTGAAGTCCAAAAGTTATAAAAAGAGCTGTAATATCTCCTTTGTAAAAGTAGCTCCTTCGGAAATAGAACAATAACATAATTACTAAAAGAACCCCTTAAATAAACTGTGCATATAACTTTAAAATAAAATAAAAGTTCTAAATCAATCCTTGATAAATATAATAAAAATATAGACTTGAGTAAACTAATAAACTTTAATACCAAAACACTAACATCACGTCTTTGGCGATAAGCCTTAACCGCGTAATCGACTCATCTGCCCGTAACAATAGTTATTAAAAATAAAACTGAGAATAATCTTCGCCTCAAAGTTACTAATTTTTTACTATTTATACTAGTGTTTAAAATTCGCTTCAAATTTATGTTTTCAAACGAACTAAATTTAGATCATTAATATTCTAAAAAAAATTTGAATATCTTTTTTAAATAAAATTTATATTATATTAAGTGGTTCTTAAATAAAGTTGTAGATACAAACTTGATTTTAATAGCTTTAGAAATTATAACGATAAGTTGAAGACTTCAAATTTTTGCAGATTTAGATTTTTTAAATTCTAATTAATATTAATTTAGGCTATACAAACTGGTATGTTTGGTTCTCATAACCGGCTGGGTAAAAATTTGCAAATCTTTGAAGAAAATTTTTAACTATATATACTATCCAGTTGGTTTTTTTCAAAAACTTGTAAAAAAAAAAATTTTATGTTTTATATATATAATTTTTTGAAAATAAAATTAAAAGCCAGGTCGCTGTGTTATTTTCTAAAATTTTATGTAATGAGAACCAAAAATACCAGTTTGTATAGCCTTACTTCTAACTTTCTAAGTAAATTTATTATTGAGCTAATTTTTAATCTTCAGCTTACTATGATAAGGCTACGCAAAGTTAATTTTTCGTTTTGCATAACTCGCTGACCCATTTTTTCAATTTTTCAAAAAAAAAAAAAATATATATATATATGGAGTGTTCCCAGGCGTGATAGACAAGTCCTATTTGGCAGTTCATCATTCAAGGCTACTTGCCGAGCCTAAGGATGCCTCTCGAAAGTCGATACTTTCGACAATCTCGATATCGAAAGTATCTCGAAAGTACTTTCGACAAAAATTTTTTTTTCGAAATGTTCGAATCTCGAAAGTCATATCGAATCTCGAAAGTCATATCGAATCTCGAAAGTCATATCGAATCTCGAAAGTCATATCGAATCTCTAAAGTCATATCGAAATCTGAATCAATATCGAAAATTAAAATTCATCAAAAATCCAAAGGTCTGAATACAAAAGTTTTAATGAAAATTCAATACTTTCTACCTAAAAAAATGAATTTTCTTAGAAGTTAATAGTCAAATAATAAATATAAACATAAAAAATTTTTCTTTATAAATAAAATTTATTTATAATGCTTTTTAAATTACTGTAAAGCTTTAATAATATACTGTATATGTAATAGATAATTTACTGTATTTTTTGCACGCATAATAATAAATTATACAGTAGTGGTAGATAACGATAAATAATTTATTATATTGTTCAACTGCATTAAACCTTAATTTTTATAATTTCCAAAGTATTTTGGCGTTAGTATATAAATAAAAATTACACAATGCATAAACCTGGAATTCAATAATACTTAACTTTCGGCAACACTTCGCCTTTAATGGAGGATGTCTAAAGCAAGGTTCGTTAGGGTTAGTTTTTTTGATATATTTAGTAGGTTTATTTATATCTAGATATTAAGAATGTAATTTATGCAATATTTAGGTCAATATGTAAACTAGTGTTCCAATCGAACGTTCGGGTCGGGTTCGGGTCAAGAAAAATTGACCCGAAAATTTTTGGGTCAGGTTCGGGTTAAGGGTCAACCCGAAAATTACTAATAATAAGGCAGGTCAGCATTAAATTAATTTTGGTTAGCATTAAAATTAATTTTGGCCAGCTCTAAAATTAATTTTGGCCAGCTTTAAAATTAATTTTGGCCAGTACTAAGATTAATTTTGGCCAGCATTAATCTTAATTTTGGCCAGTATTAAGATTAATTTCGGGCTAGCATTAAGGATTATATTGGTGTAACATACGTGTTAATTAAAATTTAACATATATAATATCGGTTCATTTTTTTTTTTTATCCACCGGTTCGTTTCTCTCTCTTTATTATTATTATCCACATATTATCAGTTCATTTTCTTTTTTTTTTTTTATCCACTGGTTCGTTTCTTTTATTTATTTATTTTTTTATATATCCATATAAGACTTTATTTTTTTTTTTATTCACATATATATTTTCGGGTTGATTTCGGGTCGGGTTTGGGTCGGGTCAGTTCAAGCTTTAACCTGACCTGATCGGAACACTAATGTAAACATTAGCTGACCTCCTTTAATGGACTTTCGAGATTCGAGAAGACTTTTGAGATTCGAGAAGATTTTTGAGATTCGAGAAGATTTTCGAGATTCGAGAAGACTTTTGAGATTCGATAACACTTTCGATATCAATATCGATATTTCGACACTATGAGATTTATCGAAATAGTTTCGATATGCCAAAATACTTTCAATAAGCATCCTTAGCTGAGCCGCAAACCCAGTGTTGGAGTACAGATACCCTACTTGGTCATCTAATGTTTAAAATGCTACTCGCCAACTGGTACTAGGCCTATGTGAGTTCAGATGCTCTACTTGGTCGTCTGAAACTTCAGTAAGGGTAATCAAATAGAATTAGAAACGTTTTAGTCAAAGAATATCACTAAATATTTTCTGTTAATATCAAGGAACCTGATCGTAAAATTGCTAAAAAATGGGATAAAGAACACTCAAAAAATCAAATATA